GTCAGACGATACGATTATCAAATCGATCATCGAGTTCTGTGCACAAGCTTCCTGGTACCAGGTATACTGATGCACTCTTCGATGCTCGAAGAAGTGATATATGGTATATGGTCCTCCTGGCGGTGTCGTTCCTATGGAGCCTTTTCTGGCGTGTTATCGTGGCATCGGGTTGTCTACCTCCTCCGTTTATAATCTGTAGGGACTCCGTTGCTGATAGCTGTCTTGGTTATCGTTTTGTCGATAAGCCCTTTTCGTGCTGCTTTGCGCCCGACTATCTGAAGAGATGAGCTGTTTCTAGTGGCTGAATTTTCTTATCCTGCCTCAATCTCCCAACAGTCTCTCTGATCCTTGGTGTCCCGGGCGATGTCTGAACCCTTTAATGCTGTATGATGGAAATGCCATGGTTAAGTTATACGAAGGCTTCGCCATGGTATCCAACCGTCCTGCTTTTTTATCCGGATTTCGGTCGGGCAGCGTCGGAGTTGTTGATATTGTACCCAAAGTCAAATAGCTTTCCATGCGGATGTTGCACATCCTGTTTTTTCTTTGCTCATTTTTGCGTGTTGAATCGCTTTTGTTTGTAGGACATGAAGGGTACGAAAACGGTGACGCCATCATTCAAAGACATACAAGACTTATTGAATCAGGTTTGAAAGTTTAATTTTTTGAGAGCTTTGCATTATTTATGTTCTCTTGCAAAGCAGCACATTCAAGAGTAATCACAATGTACCAGTTTCTAACCGCTCGTAGATCAGCATTTTCTCTAAGGCCTAATTCTTTTCCAGCGCAATCTCTGTTCTTTCCGTTTCCTTAAATAATTTTTAAACATATGGATTTAACTTTCTTACCACATCTTAGGCTTTCTTAATTATTTCTTGTTCCCTTTCTCACGGCAAAGAAAAAGCAAAATTTATAATCGTTTAAATATCGGTCTTTTCTGTATATCTGTGCTATCTATGATTGGCGCAGTATATAATACCCTTGTGATGCTTGTACTGCTGCGCTGATGTATCTTTGGATGCCGTCAGCCTGAGTACTAAATAATATCTATATGCAGTTCATAATCTTATACTCGTCTGTCATACAAGTCTGCCTGACTTTGAACCGCGATCTTTCAGCTGCGATACTCCTGCTGCATCGAGTGAATTGCCTCGAATAAATGGGTTGAAAAAGCTAGCTGTTCTCTAAGGGCCT